GAAGCACTCTTTTATCGTGAAACATTGTACAGGGGTGGGTGTGTGCATTCAGAAGCACTCTTTTATCGTCAGCATAACTGATCTAACGAAAGTCATTATTTGAAACTGTAATCCTCAGTTGTTCAGGGTACAGTTTATTGTTACTCAGTGTGACCTAATGTTTTATATTTAACTCTTGATGAAGAGGACTTGAATGTTACATCAAAATGGATAGCATTAATTTTGCTCTTAGTGAAAGGTTATGTTAAGTTTACTTAATGATGTAAATTCAGTGTAAAATATTTACAACCAAGGCATGATGTGCTAATAACAACTCAAATTCATGGTTGTTTCACACAATAATAATTGTTTTACTAGACAAGCATCAGCTGGTGAATGAAGTGCATCATACAGCAACATGAAATATTGATCGTAGTGAAACTTGTGAGGACATAACATTTCATTATATTACAAATTTCTTTTCACCAAAGGTGTGATGAAGAGGCCTAGTACATTCTTTAATTTGCCACACCTTCTGTTGTGGACTGCTTTTGTCTATTCAAAGCTCACCAGCACAGCTTGAGTCAGCAAACCAAAGAAATACAGTTCGGCCTCTTATAATAGTGATATGTATATATCATATGGGGTTATTGATTCCAATTTAACTCACCATATATCATATTGTATGATATAGAAGACACTTTTTTGAAAAAAATCCTCTAAGAATCATCCTGCACCTAATATGTGAAGTTAAAGAAAATGCATCTGTTATTTTTGCCTCCATAAGCTAATTTCTACCTAATCTTTCCCCAGATAACTGTAAATTAAAATATAAAAATTAATCTATGCAAAAAATATATGACTAGGCTTATAATTAATGAAAAAAATTTGCTAAATATATGAGTGGACTTATAATAGATAATAGCAAATCCAAGATGATTAGAATCAGTATAGCTGAGAAGTTCACCTTCTCCAGTGCTAAGCAGAAAGTGTTTCTGAATTCTCATGAACGAAACTGTCTACTACATTCCCTATTTGCAATGTGCAACAGTTATTAAACTGTTATTTAGAGTAAACACTTAATGCTTTGATACACTCAAATGTTTTTTTTGTTTTCCCTGAATATTCTTTGCTAAAATATTGGTGTGTCGTATATACCCATGCATCTTATATAAGTTAAAATACAATAGTTACACATTATATTTTCCATTTTACCTTTGGTGAAAAGAAATCTCTAATGTAATCATTAAACATCTGGTTCACTGTATAATATTGAATAATAACTTAGGTGCAGTGCCATAATATTATTCATATACCTTAATTAATTTAAGTTACTATATATTGAGTTAAAAACTTGAAAACTTCATAAATATTATGATATTTCATTGTTTCTTCAGTCAGTTAGACAAATTGGAAGAAGTGGTGCTACGTGAAATGAGGGTGAATGGTGCAGGTCAACCAGGAGAATTACAAACTCTCATATCATCAGTGACAGTTCTGGATCTTTCACGTAACCTGTTATCTTCTTGGTTAGAGGTTGCTCGGATTGCTGAACAACTGTTGTGTCTCAGAGAGTTGAATGTGAGGTAATTTGTTAAAGGCAAAAGAAGTTGTGAGGCAAGAACCTTGGTACAATCAGTGTACGCCAATAGATGTTTAATACAGACCTACCTCCATTGCCAACATAAACCACTAATTTTATTACTGACAAAATATTTTTGTGTTCTTGGTGTGTTTTGATGACCAAAATATATATTATAATGATTACTAATCCTAGTATGAGTTAGTTGTGTGTGTCTGTTCAACATCTACAGTTGAAGAAATCTTACAGGATTCATTTAAAAACAAATCTATTCCCTAAACTGAATTTGTGGCATAACTTTAATTCGTAAAGAGTCCATAACTGTTTTCACTTGCATGTATAAATCTATATTTGAATGCCTAGCAGAGTCAAATATGTTTAAAAGTATTGTTTATAACCATAGGCTTAAGACTGTTCCGTAAAAGATTTATAGTTTATTTGTTTTTTTCAGTGAAAATTTGATTCCAGTTCCAGAACATCCAGAAGACTTACAGCCAAGTTTTTGTACTCTAAAAACGTTGGTTTTGAACAAGATGAGTTACAGCTGGGAACAGGTAATATTCCTTGTATTCCTTTTTTTTAAAAAAAAAACATTAATTTGAGTATTTGAACTTGTTTATCTCAAAATCATTATTTTTATTTTACAGGTGCTTACTTGTTCAAAAATGTGGCCACAGATCGAACGCTTGGAACTTTGGAAAAATGAAATCTCGTTATTATCCACACCTGATTCCAATACCTTGCTATCTCTGAGATACCTGAGCCTTGAAGACAACCCTCTGTATTCTTGGCAGGAAGTTTGTAAATTAGGAAATCTACCCAGGTTTGTTGAAGTGATCTTGAAAATGTTTCACTGCTCAATAAATATTTATGAATAGTGTTATTTTGTAAAAGAAAATGTAAAATCATGTTATATGTTATTTTAAAAGAAGTTATATTTGTGCTGTTTTTAATATCCATTTGTTATATATTTAGACTTGAAGTTTTGTGTCTGGGAAATACCACCCTCTCAAACATTCAGTTTCCTGGAGTTAAACCTAACCAGAAAACAGATCTTTTTCCCGTACTTCAGTGCCTGATGATCACGCACAACAGATTAACCCAGGTAAGGTTGGTCTCTTGGTTTAATTTCTCTTATTAAAGTTAGTGAAAAATATGTTTATTATAATGGCTTAGGATAACATTGTAGGAGTGGTGCCTGACATCATAGGCTGTGTTTTACAACTGTTATTTTGTGCATGTAAAAAAAAGAATCATTTACAAGCATTTATTTCTAACCCAGACACATTAAAGAGATTTCAAGAAATTCCTTATCATGATCAGAAGTATATGAATTTAATAAAAATGTACGAAATATAACTTGAAAGTAAAAAATGAATCCTAGTAGCCTGTCTTTAAGTTAATATTAGATCTTCCTCCATCTTTTCCTGTATTGTTAGTTACAGGTTGAGTTAAAACTTCATAATGATTTTAACACCAGTGAAAAAGACTTTGAGAAAGGGGATTGATTTGTACTGACTATTTATATTCAGTATGTTTTTTTTTATAGTCTCATTGAACTTATAAAATCACTGTGATATATAAAATGAAATATTTTTTAAAATTAAATTTTGTTTCACTATCCTGAAGAGGAAAACAAATAATATTATTTCTTTATAACATACAATTCATGTAAAGGTTTCTATACCAACTAGAGCTCAGTCAAACAAATTGAAAACCCAGAGGCAGATGATATTTTAATTGTGTTCCTCTAATATTTCTTAAAATTATTTAGTTCCCAGCATCTTAAGCATAGCTTACCACCAGTTTATTTTTAGTAAAAAATAAATCAATCCAAATTATCACTGTGGAGTAACAGGTGACTGTAGATTAGGGTTCATATTACACGTAAGCCACTTGTATCAAATCAATGAGATTCTTAAACTATATTGAAAACACCCGTGAGGAATTGTAAACTATCTAACACCAGACAGTTTTCTAGCCTATAAAAAGTAACGAAAAACACACAAAGATATTGTAATTTCCATCATGTTATCCTCCACAATTGAAAGCTGTGTTCCAAAATCTGAGGCTCAACTACTTTATCAGGTTCTTAGTTGGTTTATGTTGTACTAAAATCAAGAATCTGAGGCTCAACTACTTTATCAGGTTCTTAGTTGGTTTATGTTGTACTACTATCAAGAATCTGAGGCTCAACTACTTTATCAGGTTCTTAGTTGGTTTCTGTTGTACTAAAATCAAGAATCTGAGGCTCAACTACTTTATCAGGTTCTTAGTTGGTTTATGTTGCACTACAATCTAGACAAAAATTAACATACACCTTTTTAAACTCAATTTAATTTATTTCAACACTGACAACGAATTATAGTTTATGGCCGAACAAAACACTATTTGATCTTGTGTATTTGTAATTTGGTCAAGAAGCAATACAAAATAAAATAGGTCAAATTGCTACAGTGGCATGCCACTGATTAAATGTAAATGTTTATGAAGGAACTTTTGATAAGCACAGATTTACTGAATATTTGATTTAAGCTGGAGTATTTCTGTCAGCTTACTTGTAACACTCATAATTTCCAGAATATAGAGCAATGTAGTATGTTTCACAACTGTATAAGTTATGAGAGAATTTTTATTTTAAGATATAATTATATTTTTTACTTTGTGTAGTGGAAAGATGTAGCTGAGCTAAACAAACTCATAAATTTGAGAGAACTTAGAATTTCTCATAATCCAGTGATGACAGAATTTACCCCAGAAACTTGTCGACAGTTGGTCATAGCAAAAATAGACTGTTTACAGCGGCTCAATAGAGAAGAGGTGAGGAGAAAAAAATTTTACAATTAGTTGACTTAGGGTAGACATGTCTTATGTAAATTTTGACTTAATAAAATAAGAATAGGAATGTAGCAGGAACAAAAGTATAAAATGAATCACTGCAATGAGAACAGGAAGTTTTTAAAAGCTTTTGGTTATATAACAAACGATGTCTAATAAACGGGTGTTTCATACTCGTTAATTCCACATGTAACTCTTAAACTACCGTTTACAGGTGACAAGACAAGAAAGACGTGGGGCTGAATTGGATTACCTGAAACGATACTGGCAAAGCTGGATCCAGAACGGAGGACATTCTGATTTGCAGAAAGCTAAACCTACTTTGGACTTCGTAGCAGAACACCCCAGGTTTACTAAATTGATTGAAAGTAAGTTACGTTTTCTGATTACACAGAAGATTTTCAAGGAATTGGCAAATGAACCCTGTTTAACTGGAAGTTTTTGTTATTTCAGATAATAATATGATAATGAAACCAAGAGCAACTAAATTATTATTTGTTATGTTTAGTGATTATCAATTATGCTTTGTTTAATAAACCTGAAATATGTAAATCGTATTAAATAATTACCCAAGACAGATCCATCTGAGCTTTTGACTTGAGTGTCATGTATGCTAGAAATTTTATCTTTTTGTTGTTGTTGTTGTGAATGTGGTTATTAAAAGGTAATTACATTCATACAGATAACACTTTTTCTGGTTTATTCTTTTTAGACAAAGTCAAACGTGCATTTTTTTTTACATTAATTCTAGTTTTTGGACCACTAGAAGAATCAGAGGTGCGACAACAACATTCATGTCTGAGAAACAGCTTGATCAGTATCCTTTATTAAATATATATTTTACCTGTACAGTAAGATTTATTAAAACTTTATAACTAATGTACTTGGATATATCAAACATCGAAAAAAATTAAAAACAAGTCTGAGTTACTGTAAAACAAAGAGTAATTGTATAACTCCAGAAATTTGACATCACAGGTCTCTGTGCCTGGTTTTACTTTAAGGTTACTTAGTATAATAAGATCAATGTTAAGGATATTATCCAAGTGTGAGTTTTTATGAGATTCATATTGTTTATTAGGATTTCAGAACTTGTATAAATATGTTTATGTTTAATATATCTTGACAATTTAAATCTGAGCTTCTCTTAAAAGGGTAGTAAATAATGCAGCTATTTTTAATGATGTATAACTTCATGTACTTGAAGGCCAAAGTATACGGAGTGGCCCAAATGTAGGTATGCAGATGATAACTGATAATGTATTTAAAGTAATTAAATTAAAACTAAAGTATACAGTTCATAATTGATAATTTATTTAATGGCACTTTACACATGACATGGAATTATGGGAAAGTTATTCCTTCAGGTATTCAAATTGAAACCCGTTGCTGTTCACACAATCCTGGAGTCTGCCTGCCACACTTATGCAAACTTTCTGACACAAGTTTGTCTGTCCATCAAATTCTGTAAATGTGTCTGTGATGTGCTCTTTCATTTCATCAACATTGTATGATTTCCTACTGTTCACTTTGTCCTGGAGTGCTCTCTAGAAGAAAAAGTCCATAGGGGTACAGTCCAATGACCATGGAGACATCTCGATTGTGCCTCTGTGGCCAATCCATCTCTAAAGCAAATTTTCATCAAGACAATGGTGGATTGCATTAGTGAAATAGGGTGGTGCTCCATCTTGTTGGAAGTAGAACTGAGGGAAATCTGGCTGCTGCTATAACTCTGGAATGATGCAACTCTATACCTACTTTTGGGCCATTCTGTATATTAACTAAGAAATAAGTTCATGCACATGAGTAGGAAAACAAGTGTATACTACATTTTTTCTTGTAGTAAGTTGATTAATCCCTTAAAAACTGAGGAGAATGTGTTCAAGACTATTTTACGAAACTTACAGGAGATATTGCCAGATTTTTAAATGTATAGAAGACATTGCCAGATTTTTAAATGTGTAAAAGACATTGCCAGATTTTTACATTTTTAGAAGACATTGCCAGATTTTTACATTTATAGAAGACATTGCCAGATTTTTAAATGTATAGAAGACATTGGCAGATTTTTAAATGTATAGAAGATATTGGCAGATTTTTAGATTTATAGAAGACATTGCCAGATTTTTTCTTTTGTAGAAGACATTGCCGGATTTTTAAATGTATAGAAGACATTGCCAGATTTTTAAATGTATAGAAGACATTGCCAGATTTTTTCTTTTGTAGAAGACATTGCCAGATTTTTTCTTTTGTAGAAGACATTGCCAGATTTTTAAATGTATAGAAGACATTGCCAGATTTTTAAATTATAGAAGACATTGCCAGATTTTAAAATTTATAGAAGACATTGCCAGATTTTTAAATGTATAGAAGACATTGCCAGATTTTTTCTTTTGAAGAAGACATTGCCAGATTTTTAAATGTATAGAAGACATTGTCAGATTTTTAAATGTATAGAAGACATTGCCAGATTTTTAAATGTATAGAAGCATTGCCAGATTTTTAAATTTATAGAAGACATTGCCAGATTTTTAAATCTTTTTCTGGCTGAAATAGAAGACTGTTGTGACTTATGAAAGCAAGAGATTTTAGAATGATTTTGTTTTTAAAAATAAACTTGATATCATTCACCTTTCTACTTTATCAAACCTTTGATGTCTGAAGAGGTTTAGAAGTCGACATAGTGAAGAGAAGTAAAAAACTATAAGATATTATAAAATAATTTAGATCACAAATAAATCACAACTCTTGACAGATATAATAAGAGAGATGAGGCAATAAACGAGCAAGATTGATAATCATAAAATTATAACGTTAGACACATAAGAAGTTAGTCATTCGTTGTGATTTTACCGATTGTTAACATTATAAGTTCAAAAGCTTAATCATAAATAGAAATGTGACTAACAAGTGGTTATCCTTAACATGAATCTTAGCTGTTGAGATCTGTACTCCTAACGATCCTAGCTTTTCACCAGTGATTAAAAAACTTCCATGTAAGTGTTTTTGTTTACGTTAACACAATCAAAATCTCATTTCATATAAAGGTATCACTGAAATATAATAGTTTTAAGTAAAGGTTCTTGTGACATGTTGCAGAAGGTAGTTAACATTGTAATGTCATTGACATAGTAATCACTTACCAACTGTAATTTATCAGTGACATCCCCGAGTTTTGTTTTATTTTAGTCACTTTATTAGCCTTTTCTTACATATTAATAAAAAAAATATGTGAATGCATGTATATGTGTATAACAAAATGTGTGTATGAAAATATTTTATTCTGTAATACACAGTTCCAAACTCCACATTTTATGGTATTTAAAACAGGAAATTGGACATTAGGGTTTGGCATTTTTTCAGCCATTTGATTTTAATGAAATTTTAATCTTTTGTGTTTTCAAACTTAATTTCGTGTCTGTTCCGTCATTAATAACCTTTTTAAGGTAGGCAGAGGTTCATATATTAACATAAATACTATTCTGTATCTGCCTTTGAAAAGACTTAGTTTGTAAATGGTTGGTCAATAATTCGTCCCAGTGGAAAGTGAGTTGTAGATGTAATGCCTTGATATTTCATGACATTACCTGTTTGTATGTTAGCTGACCTATAATTCTGTTCATTGGAACATGAGTTAAAATGGAAAAAGTCAATTGTTTACTGATTATCCTTGCAGCAATTAATGTGGATATTTAGTGCCCCAGAATGGCTTAGAATTCGTCAGAGTGCATATAGACCTTTTTGTTTCCAGGGGCCGCATGAATTCCAGCTTTTTCTGTTCTTGTCCCTGGTTTTGGCTAAGAAAAAAAATGTCTTAAAATGTATCATAATCAACCAATCCCAGTCTTCTTTTAAAATGGATTTAGGCAATGTGTTTAATATATGAACTTTTGTCCACCCCCAACCAAGAGAAACAGCAGAAGTTGTGTAAAGAAAATTGCATCCAAGCCAACCTTAGTTTTAATCCTTTTCTAGAATAGTTTTGAATTGTAAAAGAACAAAAACCTCACGTTCGTTAGCACTCTATAGTTTAGTGAATCATAAATCAGTTTACAGTTTATAAATGTCATTAGTCAGTGCTCAAATTTAAAACATTGCAAACTTTAGAACTCTTTGACATTACTAAACGATTATTTTCTTTCTTGCAGCCACAATGACTGTGGGGAAAGTCAAAGCTTTGGTGAAACGGATATATAATGTTGGTATTCATGAAATGAGATTAGGCTGTGTCAGCAGTCAGGTATTTTACTTTTTTTCTGTTAATTTTATAAAATAGTTGACTATAAGCATCCATTTAGTAAATAGAAGCTATAAAGCTATGACCTTGTAACTACCAACATTTAGTAAATAGAAGCTATAACCTTGTAACTACCAACATTTAGTAAATAGAAGCTATAACCTTGTAACTACCAACATTTAGTAAATAGAAGCTATGACCTTGTAACTACCAACATTTAGTAAATAGAAGCTATACCTTGTAACTACCAACATTTAGTAAATAGAAGCTATGACCTTGTAACTACCAACATTTAGTAAATAGAAGCTATGATCTTGTAACTACCAATATTTAGTAAATAGAAGCTATGATCTTGTAACTACCAATATTTAGTAAATAGAAGCTATAACCTTGTAACTACCAACATTTAGTAAATAGAAGCTATAACCTTGTAACTACCAACATTTAGTAAATAGAAGCTATGACCTTGTAACTACCAACATTTAGTAAATAGAAGCTATGATCTTGTAACTACCAATATTTAGTAAAAAGAAGCTATAACCTTGTAACTACCAACATTTAGTAAACAGTTATTTATCATAAATAGTCTCAGACTCGTAACAGTTTACACCTGTTTTCATTTAATTGTATTATTTTATTACTTGTTTAACCATGGCTCAGTATTAAACTTGCATAACAAAGTTATAAATCACCTAGCAGGCATATAGCTCAAGCAACAATAAACAAAGTATTGAATTATGTAACTCACGAGAAGCGTATGTTGCTCAGAAGTAATGTTAATGAATCAACTTTTAATATAAATTCCAGTTTCTTAATTTATAAAGGAAATATTCAAATTAATTCTCAATATTTACTTTTCTGTACCACATGACACTTGTTCACTCTGAATTGTCAATTTGAGATATGCATACCACTCCTATAGGATGTTAACATAAATTACACGCTTATAGATATTTCTAAGGTGTAAACTACTTTTATAGTGTCCAGTCTTCTTGCCTTATGGAGATATAAACCATGCCATGCCCTTCTATGTCAGATCCTTCTTACAGTAAATGCCAGTGATTTTCTCTGACATTTTCTATTGGATTATTTATAACCAATGGAAATAGGAGATTTTGATTTACCAATTTTCTATCAGGCTAGCTCATTCACGTGACATGTTTTAAATCATTTGGTTTTCATAGATGACATGTTTTAAATCATTTGGTTTTTACAGATGACATGTTTTAAATCATTTGGTTTTTACAGATGACTTGTTTTAAATCATTTGGTTTTTACAGATGACATGTTTTAAATCATTTGGTTTTTACAGATTCATTGTTGCTATTACTGAAGTCACCTTGACCACGTAATGAAATTATTTTAATTCACTTATAGCTTAGTTAGAAAGTAATTTAATAGCATATTAAAGATAAGTAAAAATTACTTTATGTATTACTACCATTTTTACAAATAAATAGGATTAAGTTTAGTTGGAGGCTGAAAGCAAAGAAACAAGTACTAAATTTCTTGTTTTTTATGTATGTGCTTTATTTATTGTTATACAAGTAAGTAAAATTAGAAACTTATTAGGTTAGACAAGAAAGTATATATAAAATCATTTCTCAGCAAGATATGCATGCGAGCTTCTTGTGGTTTACATAAATTAATACCTTGTAACTCGAGCTACACACTTTGTTACACAGGTTTAGTAGTTAGACATGGTCCAAAGAGTAATAACATTCAATGAAAATTACATAAGTTAATACCTTGTAACTCGAGCTACACACTTTGTTACACAGGTTTAGTAGTTAGACATGGTCCAAAGAGGAATAACATTCAATGAAAATAGCTGTAAACTGTTATGAGTCCGAGACTACTTAGGATAAATAACTATCATTTTCTCTTACAATCTGCAGTCATTCTAGAAAAACCGGTAATTTATATATATATATCGTAGTCACAAGGTTGGTCAAATAAACAGAGTTCTGATAGTGTTAGAGTACAGACACATTTTGTTTTCACTTAGGAGATTCTAGAAAAACCGGTAATTTATATATATATCG